AGGCCCAGGCTCTGCCAGCGAGGCGCACCGCTGGGACCCCAGGCCTCCTGTGAGTTTCCACAGCGGGAGGTGAGGCTCGGCCTCCCTCCCCCGGGTCTTGTTTGCTCCAGCCCTTGTCACAGGGCACCTTGTTCCTTTTGCAGCCACCATTCCTGGCTTTTCTAGGCTCTGGAGATCACAGATCCAGATGTGGAAACACAGGCCTGGTGTGGACGCATCTGCAGAGCTGCGCGTGGTGAGCAAGGCTCTGCCCGGCGCCTGCGCCCTGCGTGGTGGGTGGTGACGGCCACCCTATGCCACAGCCCCCAGCCTGGAGCCGCGGGTGTCAGGCGAGCGCGTCCATCCCTGCGGAGCCCAGGGGGCGGTTCACGCTCATCCGCACGGTACAGATGAGGAGTGTGGCCCAGAGAAGGCTAGCCACTTGCCCGCGTCACACAGCCAGGAAGGAACAGAGCCAGGGCAGCCGCAGGCCCCACTTCTCAGGCTGCAGAACCAGCCTGACCCACCCTCCCCGTCCCGCGGGCATGTCCCCTCCTGGCTTGAGACCAGAGTTCCCCTTCCAACCGGTTAATGTGGGGCCATTGTTAGGACGGCATGTTTGTCTCCACCGTTGAACTGTTGAGCTCTTCCGGGTCAGAGGCCGGGTGGCCCCCTCTGCCCCTAGTGTCTGTCCAGTGCTCCTGGCGCCCACTGGCCTTCAGCGTTTGTTGAGTGAATAACCAAGGGACGATGGACTCTCCATCTCTGCAGCCTTTGTGTCTGGAGCAGAGACCCGCAAGAATTAAATGACAAGGTTGGTTATCTTGATGGTGCTCATATGCTGGCTGGAGGCATCTCTGGAATTTTCCGATGAACTAGGTCACGCAGAGCGCCTGGGTCACAGATGCCAGGCTCTTGAAGAAGAACAGAAGGCCCTGACTTGTACAGATTTGGAAATTGCTATTTTTCAGACAGGTTGCATGAAGAGTTGCTATTCGGCAACTGAAAATCCAGGATACTCCGTTCCATTTGACTGTCAGATCATGTCTAGAGCAGTATAAGCACAGGCCTCCTGTGAGTTTCCACAGCGGGAGGTGAAGGCTGTGGAATGAATGTGTTGTGTCTGAAATTCAGCTCTCACTGAGGGCCCCATGTTTTCAGGAGTGTATCTGAGGGCCTCTCTGACCACCTTCCCAGACATTGCTCCCCTTCAGACTGCCTAGCACGACTCTGGCCGCCTCAGTTTCTGGCAAGGCTTCCGAGCCCTGGGCTGGACCTCGGCCATTCTCTGTGCTATTCCCAGTCACTGCGGCTCAGAACCCGGCTGTTTGGGTCCCTGGCTCCTCCATAGCTACAGTGGGGCCATGTCGATGTGCTTAGCCTGGTACAAACTTACCTCGAAAATCTGTAGCTCAGGAGCACCAAACTCTCCGTGTGGCTGAGCCGGGATGCCTCAGGCAAGCCAGGCCACGCTGGCCAGCCCGGGAGCAGGCTTGGTGGGGAGAGGGCATGGCCAGCAAGCCCGCTCCCCACAGCCCCCGCCCGGAGACACCCCTCCTCTCCTCCCCCTCCCTCCCTTGAAGGTGGTTGTTATTCAGGAAAGTGCCAGAAGAACCTCTAGTAACCTCGTAGTGGGATTTTCCGTTTGAAAGCCCACGTTGCTCTCCTCTCTGGAGAGGCCTGGCGCAGAGTGCCTGTGTAGCCGCCTCTGCAGGAGCAGGTGGGGTCTCCCCGAGGCCACCCTGCTGCAACTCTGCTGTGGGGGAGGGGCGGGCCCTGTGTGACCGCGGGAGCCTCTGTCTCTGCAGCAGCGCCTTGCTGGAAACGCTCCACATGGTGCCCAGCCACCCTGAAATCAAGGGCCAGGACCCCAAAATCAAGGGCCAGGACCCCAAGTACCGGGACCCTGTCCTGGCTCCAGAGAGCAGCTGGCAGGGGTGATAGAGTCTTGTGGGTGACGCTCCCCAGCATTGAAAGCATCATTCTCTCCAGTGGAGTTTTAAAAAGCCGACACGTTGGCTCCCCCTGGTGGCTCAGCGAGTTAAAGCACCACATTGTGAAGCTCTCTGAAGCTGCTACAGCTCAAGTTCAATCCCCATCCAGGGGTGACCCACGTGGCGCGGCAGACCTCTCCCGACCCGCCCGCTGCTCCCCTCAGCAGTGTCCTTCGTCTGTCTGCCTGTTCTGCTCCCCGCTGTCTCTGGTGAATCCGCTCACTGGCCCTGCACCTCTGGCCTGTACCCCAGTTCTGTAAGCATAAATAAATATTAAAAAAAAAAAAGCCGACATGTGATGCTGAGCAGAACGGGCCCTTCTACTCCCTCAGCCTGTTTGGTGGCCTTTCCCATGATAAAGTTGGGTCCTCTGGCCCACGCCCCCCTCCGCTGCCCGAGCTGGCTTCTCTTCCCGCCACATTCGCCCTTGACCTTCTGGCTCCCCCACAGCTCACAGCGCCGCTGCAGGCCTGTTGTGACTCTGCGTGCCGGCGCCTGAGCTGTGCACCGCTCCGGCAGGTGCTCCCTGGGCGGCAGTGCCCACGGTCTGGTGGTTTAGGGAGAAACCTGAGCCGAGCCTCTGCCGGGTCAACAACGGGCCTCCGTCACCCCGAGCCAAGCGCCAGCCTCCCCCAGGCCTGGGTGGAGCCCTGGACTCATACACTTACGGTGTGTGCGGGCACCCAGCTGTGGTGGCATGGTCCCCGTCAGGGCCCTTCCAGCTAACTGGCCTTTACTTGGCCATCCTGGTGTCCCCCCTTTCAGCGAGCCAGCAAGAGTTTTTCTGACTTTGATTGGATCATTTGTGACGGGAAAACGAGCGCTCCATTCTCCCCAACGCCACCCCACCATGTCTCCTGCTGGTGTCTAACTCTGCAAGAGGACATGTCTCTTGTTCTGCGTCTGGGCCACACTTTTCCCTGTTGTGGCCCTAGAGGTTGTACCCCAAGTCTGCTCTGAGCACCCACCCGTCCCAGGTGCCATTCTCAGCAACCTGTGAGCAGGTGTGAGCAGAGCCTGGTGGCCCAGAGCGCATCTCCAGAAGTGACTTACAGCAGACCAGAGCCGGCGGGAGGGTCTGCCGGGGCGGGGGGGGTCTGTGCAGGAACTGCTCGAGGCCTCTGTCTCCCCTGCTTCCGAGGTGAGGTAGCCGCCGCCGCCTCCGAACTGAGCCATCCCTGACCGGCTCTGCCTGACCGCCCGGTGCTGGGGTGAGCCTGGGCGCTTGCAGTTTTCTCTTTTGTGTCCAGACCAGCACTTTGAATTCAAGATCTGTCTCACAAAGCGGTGGACGCCAGGCTCTGAGCCAGCGGTCTCCAAAGGCCATGCTCTTCTGGTCAAGAGGTGCTTGGAAGCCACCCACTGTTGTCACGGGGGCATCACCCCCTTACAGAGGGCCTGTGAGATGCAGGGGGCCCACCTGTGGCACTGACGGGAGGAGCTCCCCACCTGCCCCCGTTTTTTCCTTCCTGCACTTGCCTTCAAGTGGAGTGGGGGCCCCTTGAGAGCTGGGGGCCTCAGCTTGCTCAGCTGGAGTTGGTTCCTAGTGAGTGCAAGCGGCCGTGCTCTGCTCCCAGCCTCCTGCAACCCACGCCTCCCTGACAGGACCCCAAAGCGGTAGTCCTTGCATTTCAAGGCCTCAGTGCAGTGCCTGACCGCAAGGGTGGGAGGAGCATAGAGTGGTGAGCACCCCTGCACCTTCAGACACACCCAGAGCTCAACCCTGATGCCACCGAAGGTTTGAGCCACGCCGTGACCTCTGCTCACCACACACAGTGGGACGGAGCGGTACTTGCAGCCACTAACTCAGTGACCTGCTGAGTCTGTCAGCACTTCTCGCACATTCCTTGGCCATAGCTGGGCCCCAGCTAGCAGCAGCATTCAGTGACGGTACCCTGAATGAAGACTGAGCACATTCTCATCCATTTGCGTCATTCTGAAAACATCAGAATGTATCAGGGGCCGGTCAGTGCCAGGGCCAGCATGGGACTCAGGGCACATGGCACATTCTGCCCTGTGGGGTCTGGGAGGGTCTGGGGGGCGGGAATTAGAGAGTCAGTCTTTGGGTAGCTTGCCCATGCTCCGGATAGTAGCTCAGAAATGCTCCTTCCAGTGCCTGGAAAGAAGGTTCCATAGATGGGGCTCTATCAGACAAGGAAAACGAGCAGGTGTGTACCCAGGTTTCTGAGCGGCAGCGCCCAGACCTCAGCAGGAAGGTGCTTATCAGCAAAGATAAAGGCTCCTGATTCTGCAGGCCCAGGACTGAGCGGCTGCCCAGGTGGGAACAGGATCGGGCAGCTGTGGAGGCAGCGTCTGGATGGGCGTCTTATCCAGGAGCCTGAACCCACAGGTTTCTGTCTCGCAGATGGTCAGGGAAA